GAAGAGCNAAGGACATTGAAGTAAAATTGAAGCACTTCACTTCAATAAGTAGTCAAATTTTTAATACATTTTTCAACATATTTTTTAATTATATTAAAAAATTACCAACTCTGAACCTAATCTACTTCGACTTGTCAAAGAGTCACAGTATTAGGTTAAATAATCTCAATGGCAAAGCATGTCTTTGACACAAACCAACCGTTACGGCACGTGATATCACGTGACCGCGGACTCGCCCTCGACAAAAAATGGTAAACAATGGCAACCGCCTTTTCGTTGGACTTGTCCGCGTGGACGTTGGACCCTTGAAACACGTATTCTCAACGAAAATTAGAAATCTCAGAGGAGAGAGGGAGGAAGGAGAGAGAGAGAGGGACTTCGTTAAAAGTCGGTTAGGCAGTGGAGCTCAAATCTTCTACACCCAAAAGTCAGGAGAGTCGAGAGACTTCGTTAAAAGCAAGTGCTGAAGACGTTCATTTTACGCTTCCAACGATTCGACCAAAGTTTTGGGATTTTTTTGCCGCCGCCGACCGCCGACCGCCATGGACGCCGCCGCATGCTCTCGTGTTCTTCCTCAGATCAACCTCTCCCATTCGGATCATAGATTATCCACGTAAGCCCTCGAAATCATAATTGTTTTTCTGTTATTTTTTTGTATTTCATGTTGGATCAGTAAAGTTGGCTTTTTATTTAATTAGATTTGTGTTTAGAATTAATCGCGCGAGAAGATCCTAGTTATTTCTTGGGAGAGAGCTTTGGATTGTATGTCAATCTTGTTTCCTGGAAAATTGCATTGAAAATAAGCATTTTCCGGGCAACCAAACAGAAGGTTTGCATTTTCTTTCGACAACCAAACAGGAGCGTTGAATTATGGCAATCGAATTATGTTTGGGTTTTGGTTTATTGGTTTGGCTAAGCTGAGTTTTTGACTAAATGTGTAAATTTGTACTTTCCCAGCAACCAAACAAAAAAGTTTGCATTTTTACGACAACCAAACAGAAAGTTTTCATTTAACGACTACCAAACAGGAGCATTGAATTATGGCAATCGAATTAGAGTTTTGGTTTATTGGTTTCAGACTTAGCTAAACTGAGATTTTGACTGTCTAAATGTAATTTAGTGGTAGGTCGGGACCTGCCTCTTTCCGTTCATCCAAGCGATTGCTAGTTCCGAAACAGCTCACAGTTTCTTGCTCTACACCGATTGATAAGGGAAATGACATGTTTGGAATATCACATTGTTCTAAGAAAAACCCTGTGGGGGAAGTATTATGCCCTGCTGGTGTATGCACTTATGGTGGGACTGCTGTAGAGTCTCATTCCCATGCTGCGGAAGAGAAGGTTGGAGTGCTGCTTCTGAATCTTGGAGGACCCGAGACGCTTAATGATGTTCAGCCGTTTTTGTTCAATCTTTTTGCCGACCCGGTATGTTCATCTGCTTTTGTTGCCTTGCCTTATTGGTGTCAGCATTAGTTGTTAGCTTAATACACTCATTACTAACATATTCCCATGTTGTGTGAAACAGGATATCATTCGTCTCCCAAGGTTGTTTCGGTTTCTCCAGCAACCATTGGCGAAATTAATTTCTGTACTTCGAGCTCCAAAAAGCAAAGAAGGTTATGCTGCTATAGGAGGTGGTTCACCATTGCGTAAAATTACAAATGAGCAGGTAGAGCAATATGCATAGCATGCCTGTTGAAATGTTTCCTTTAGTTTTTATTTGTATAATTAGGTGGCTTTTGCTACTTGTTACAGGCAAATGAACTCAGAAAGACTCTGGAATCAAAGGACTTGCCTGTTAATGTCTATGTGGGAATGCGTTATTGGTACCCATTTACTGAGGAAGCAGTTCAGCAAGTGAGTCTTAAATTTCAGTAACCTAGTATTATTTTAAAATATGCCGTTGGTTCTAGGCAATGTAAAGCACATAGGAAAATAGAATTGTAACCTAAAGTCTCCCAACGATTATATTGATTAGATTCATTGAATTTGTAGTTAGTCATCATGGGGCATCTTGTAATTGAATGGTTTAAAATGACTGAACTTTTTTCCACATTATCTGTGACAGATTAAGAAAGACAGAATAACCAGGCTTGTTGTCCTGCCTCTATATCCTCAGTTCTCTATCTCTACAACTGGATCAAGCGTTCGTGTGCTCGAGGATATTTTCAGGTGACCATTTGCTGTTACTGTCAGTTTATGGAATTAAGTAAATGTTTGTTTATGATGGTCAATTTTCTGAATGTGAGCGCCCATCTTGCAGGAAAGACGCCTACCTATCAAGGATGCCTGTTTCTATTATAAACTCATGGTATCAACGTGAAGGCTATATTAAGTCAATGGCCGACTTGATTTCCAAAGAACTAGAAAGTTTTTCTGAGCCTGCAGAGGTGCGCTTGATGTTTCTATTGAACATATGCTTTAAATTCGTCAGAAATGGCTCTTTTGATGCAATTAAGTTTCATTCTCTCTTTGGTTTATAGATGTTGCTATTGAACGTATGCTTTCATTGTATGATTATTCCCTGAACTTCACAGCTCCGGTAAACATTGCTAATTTTGTATGAAATTCAGGTCATGATATTCTTCAGTGCCCACGGAGTGCCGCTCAGTTATGTGGAGGATGCTGGAGATCCTTACAAAGATCAAATGGAAGAGTGCATCTTCTTAATAATGAAAGAGTTGAAATCTCGAGGAATCAACAATGAACATACTCTTGCTTACCAGGTGGGTTATGAAATTCTATTTTCTGACTCGTACACTCCATTTCACTCTTGGTTCTCAGAACAAGCATTGGTTGTTGTCTACCATGTATGTTGCCAAATTTCTTGATGTTGTTTTCTGATTTTCTTTTCCTTATTTTGGGGTTGGGTGGTGATCAGAGCCGAGTTGGTCCTGTGCAATGGTTAAAGCCCTACACTGATGAAGTTCTTGTTGAGCTTGGCCAGAAAGGCGTGAAAAGTCTCCTAGCTGTTCCAGTCAGGTATTTAACTTCGTTTCTGGCCCCGGGCACTATTTGGTTTTTTTCCTCTCAAAAGTAAAGTAAGTTAATTTGGCATCTATGTTCTTATCCAGCTTTGTGAGCGAGCACATAGAGACTCTTGAAGAAATTGATATGGAGTACAGGGAATTGGCCCTCGAATCTGGCATTGAGAATTGGGGTCGAGTCCCTGCCCTTGGTTGCACTCCTTCGTTTATAACAGACCTCGCAGATGCCGTGATAGAAGCCGTACCACTTGCAACAGCCATGTCAACCCCACAAACTACCTCAGAAGTAGCCGATCACGACCCTGTGAGATACGCTATCAAGATGTTCTTTGGTCCCTTTTTGGCTTTCATTTTGTTCTTTTCTCCGATGATAATGGCATTCAGGAACACCTGATTTAAGGAAGATATTAAGCAGTCACTTACGTAGAAGAAGAGTCGAAACACTACGAACAATCCCCCATCCGCTTCCAGTTGACCCTCATACTCCATGCGGAACGAGCTTTTTGCAGTTTTCAATTCATTCATAAATGTAAATTTTTTTTTTTAAATAATTTTTTATAAAGCTTGGTGAACACGCTTTGAGTCAAGAAGCATATCTTAGATTCTAATTCTACTTTGTACGTTTTGGATGTTATGATTTGTACCTAAAGCTGGTTTTAAATTTACTTTTTGAGAATAAACATCCGCTTCTGGTGTCATTCTGCCATCTCCGGTCGGACTCACAGGTTCCTTTCGATTTCTCCTTTGTAGCCGGCACCCCAACTCGCCGGTCCGGCACCCTAAATACATGTTTCTAGTTTGGATGTAAAATAAATAGATTGAATAGTGATTTATATATGAATTTGTAAAATTGAATGAAAACTGTGAGTATAACATCCACTCTTTCTTTTTTTTTTTTTTTTTTTTTTTGGGTAAAAAAACGTGAATTTTTTATTTTCTTAAAATATTTTCCAAGAATTAAGGAAATTTATATAATGTATTTGGAAGCGGGTTTATGATTTATTGAACAATAAGTATATTTAGTAGAATATTTAAGTTGAAAAGTAAAAAAGTAAGTGAAAAATATAGAGATTTTAAAATGTATATTTAGTGTATATTCTTTATTTTTTTAAATTACGTTAAAATCACATGTAGGCAAGGCAGGCTTAAAAAAAAGTCCCTCTTTTGGTTGACAAAGAAGATTATATTAATATGTAGTTTAGATTTAGATAAAAGAAAAATTAACAAAAAAAAGGGTTCAAACATCTTTAAATTTAGGTTTTAAATCGTTAATTACAAATGTTTAAATACGAATTACAACAGATCTTGCACGGAAAAATATATTTTGAAGAACATGAATATGATAGTTTGTTGGGGTGGTAAGAGAAATAAAAGAAAAATTAACAAAAATGATTCAAATTCTTGGAGGTGCCAGACAGTCACAAGTGACTTTGTGGCACCCTCAAGAATTTTAATCATTTTCGTACATTTTTCTTTTATTTCTTTTACCACCACAGCAAACTATCATATTCATGTTCTTCAAAATATTATTTTTCCGTGCATAGAGTCCGACTCGTTTTCTAAGCACCCAGGAGTTCGCCTCATTTTGCGCGCACGAAGCTCTCCTCATTTTACGTGCCAGAAGCCCGCCCAATTTTTTGTAAGCCGAACCTACCTTGTTTTACGTGTCATGGTTCACCTCGTTCTGTGTGAGCTGACTCTGCCTCGTTTTGCATGCGTTGAGCCCCCATGTGTTTTTACAAAAATGCAATTTTTTTTATTTTCGCAAAATAATTTCTAGAGCCATAAGTTAAACTTTTTAAGGAATTTGGAAGCAGTTTTACGGTTTATTGAGCAACAAATGCATATTTAGTAGAATATTTAAGCCGAAAACTAAAAAAATAAGTGGAAAATATAGTTGTGAGGCCCAAGAACTTGTCAAATGGGGTTCTCCACTAAAGAATCTTAATGGAAAGTCTCACCTTAATTTTCAAAACTTCATAGTGAGGCGAAGGTGAAACTAAATAGATTGAACGGTGATTTATATACGAATTTGCAAAACTGACTGAAAACCGTGAGTGTTAATCCAAGTTTTTTTTGTAAAAAAATGCAATTTTTTTATTTTCTCGAAATATTTTCCGTGAGCATTAAGGAAGTCTAAATAAGGTATTCGGAAGCGGATTTACGATTTATTGAGCAACAAGTGTATATATATTTAGTATAATATTTAAGCCGAAAAGTCGAAAAATAAATGAAAAGTACAGAGATGTTAAAATTACTTGTAGGCAAGACTTAAACAAAAAATGGCAAACACTTTTTTTATTAAACAATCTTTCACCCTCTTTTTGTTTGACAAATAGGGTTCTATGTAGTTTGAATTTAGATAAAAGAAAAATTAACCAAAAAAAAAGTTCAAATTTAAATTTAGGTTTTAAATCGTTGATCACAAGTGTTTAAATACGAATTATAATAGATTTTTGCACAAAAAAAATCTATTTTGAAGAACATAAATATGATAGTTTGTTATGGTGGTAAGAGAAATAAAAGAAAAATGTTAAAAAATGATTAAAATTCTGACTTTGGGCATAGTGTGTGCTTTCATTCGTTCCGTCTTGATCCTTTGAGAACGGTTCGACCAATAACATGCTTGTTGTGACCCGTTCTCAAAAGATCAAGACATAGATTATAAGAATATTTTCACCAAAAATACATTTTGTGGAATATGAAGATGATAGTTTAGTGTTATGGCAAGACAAATAGAAAAGTTTAGCAAGGAAATATAAGATAAATAAAATTGATGGTTTAGGCGCATGAAGATGCAGCAGAAGCAATGGAGGCCCATGAAGTTTAGGGTTTAGGAGCGTGTGAATACTAGCACGTGAACAGTAACAAATGAGTAGAAGAAAAATGTAATTTGGATAAAAAAAAGGTTCAAATATCTTTAAATTTAGGTTTTAAATCGTTGATTATAAATGTTTAAATACGAAATATAATAGCTTTGCACGGAAAAATATATTTTAAAGAATATGAATATGATTGGTGTAGTAGTAAGAGAAACAAAAGAAAAATTAAAAAAATTGTACAAAAATGTTTCAAATTCTTGCTGGTGCTAAAAAATCACACATGATTTGTAGGTCCAATGATTAAGAGTATTCGTCCACCTGCAGTCCGTTGGGCAGAAAAAATAATTGTAGTTAAAACTCCCTTTGAAAAAATCAAAATCACGCGTGATTTGCAGGTCAGGTGATTAAGAGTATTTGTCCATCCGCAGTCCGTTGGTCAGAAAAAACAATTGAAGTTAAAACTCCCTTCGAAAAAATCATCAATAAACAAATAAGAGACTTAAACAGAAAGAAAGATCTGCATTATAGAACAGAAAACAAGAAAATCCGCAGAGAAAACAAGATCAAACAAATTCTTGCAATTACCAAATCCTTACAAACCCGCGATAATACCGAAAACATAACATGTTCAACAAATACTAACCTAACTAGCCTTACTACTACAGAAAATACAATGAAACATCACCGAGTACCCAAAACGTTAACACCCGCCCGCCATAACACATCAACTCTGAGGGGAAGTTTTGGCAACTCCGCCGCTTGGTGGAGCAGTCTGTGAAGCAGGTGGTGGAGCATCATAGGTCCCGCGGGTGTTCCCATTCGCGCTGGCATCAGCAGAGTAGGGAGGAGGTTGTGCATATCCAGCACCATACGATGCGTTATAGGGTGGTGGCGCCTGCCCATAACCTGGCTGGCCAGCAGGTGGTGCACCATAGGACGGGGGCCCGTACCCGGTTTGTGGTGCTGCAGCACCATAGCCAGATGATGGGGGACGGGTAGCAGGATCTGGCTGAGCATATGCAGAAGTTGGAGGCTGAGAATGCGGGTATCCTGGCTGCACAGGTGGTGCTGGCTGACCATAGCCTCCTGGAGTGCTGGGTGACTGAGCGGTTTGCCCATAAACTGCAGGATTTGCAGGAGGCTTTTGTGCTGGAGGTGCTCCATATCCAGCTCCATATGCAGGCTGAGCCGGTGGTTGGCTTCCATAACCAGTTTGAGAAGTTGGGGGTGCTCCATAACCTGGCTGAGTAGACCCTTGGGGTGGGTAACCAGCAGGGTTAGGGCTAGGCTGTTGACCGACATTGTATCCTTGCTGGGCAGGAGGTGCTTGAGCTGAATCACCCTGAGTTCCGTAAGAGGGAGTGTGCCCATCTTGAGGTGGGTTACTCACATTACCATAGCCCGCTGCAGAATAACCCTGCTGTTGATCATAGGCTGGTGGCTGACCGTACCCAGATTGAGGTGGTGCATGATATCCACCATAGCCATCTTGAGCATAGCCTTGTCCTTGTTGATTATAGCCTGAAACTGGCGGCGGGCCATAATTGTAACCAGCACTGTCAGCAGGAGCAGTGGGACCACCAGGATTTTGCTGTTGATGTGAAGGTTGTTGCTGACCATAGTAATCATAACCACCACCTTGGGTAGTCTGCTGAGTTGGTGCAGCAGCTGACTGGTCCCAACTGGATGGATATCCACCAGATGTTGGTTGAGGAGGATAGCCTGGGTAAGAAGGCTGAGATGAATTATACTGCTGTGGAGGGCCAGAATACGCTCCAGACTGCCCGTAGCCATAGCTAGGTGGTTGCATAGGGGGGCCAGAAGGAGCCCATCCTGAGGGAGGCCGTGCTTGATAACCTTGCTGAGAGTATCCTCCAGACATTGCTGGATTTCTAACACGGTTCTGCAATAAAATTATTCTCACAAATAACCATGGCGTACTTTCCATGATGCTGGGGAATATGGAGGAATGAAAAAACACATGATGTACAAAGCAAACATTGGAAACATGTATAAAAGAAAAATACTATGATTCAACGAAACACATAACAAATAAGAAAAACAAATACATTCATATATATGATTAATGGATTTCATTATTATATTGGGAAGAGGTGTAATCACCCACATACCGTACCCGTGGTTGTATAAATTGAGTTACTCCAGCAGAAGCCCACACCCTACCTATTTGAAGTGAATGGGTACGACAAATAACAAAACACTATATAGAAGCTTTTATATAAAAACAAACTTACATATAGCCCTAATTGAGACGATAGTCATAAAAACACGCGCAAAATGCAGAGTAGACTACAGGACCAAATATCAACATACGCATAGGTATTAATTAGACATCTTAGAAAGAATTCCAGACTAGAAGACATTATCAATGCACTAATACTTCCCAAATAGGCTACCACATGTGGGATGATCAGTAATTTCAAACAAAAGCTATCTAAGCTTATTAAAAAAACGTAAGTCATCAGCATAGAAAACCTGTTGTGTCAACCAGGGACATTAGTCATAGATCATATTAGATGCTAGCATAAAAAAGACCCTTTGAACTTTCCACAGGTGTGAAGCCAAACCATTATTGGCTGAATAATATCCCAAATAAGCAGCAAGAATCTCTCCAGGATTTATTAAACAGAACAGAAATATAGCACTAAAAGGGACAAGAGGTTCTGAACAATTAGGATCAAGGACCCACAATATGTGTACTCAATAAAAATTAAAGGCAATACTCCTTTTAAAAAATAAGTCATCACATAGGATAAAAGATTAATGTATATAAACTGGAAAAAGAATGGAGAAATGAACAGAAAGCAGGTGAGGCTGACTGATCATAATATTCAAGTTCCACAAAAATAAGCTGGACTTGAAT